TACCTTCTTGTATCTCTGGGCCACGGCGTAGACGTCCACCAGCCCGTCGTTGGAGCCCACGGCCAGATACGCTCCGTCTGGAGAGAACTTCATCTCGTGGATGACCTCCTTCCGGTCCTTGATGTGGACCACCTCCGTCATGTCCCTGAGACCACAAACACCCGTTAGTCGGTCAGTCGCTCCGGTCGTCGGCTACCAGACCGGACGCCGGGGCTCACCGGACTCTCAGCACGGTGAAGGACCCGTCCTTCATGCCCAGAGCCAGCTGGGACCCGTCCACGCTGAAGGCCACGCTGCGGACCGCCTCCTCCATGTTGCAGCGAGCGATGAGGGCGTGGTCCACCAGACTCCACAGCCTGGAACACACACAGGCCTTTGTTCAACCTAAAGGACGTCGACTGTCACCAAACCTGAGCCTTTAAGGACCTACGAGGCCCCGACTGGATGTTTCTTTAGTTCTGTCACATTTGAACCCACCGTGGACTCATTTCTCACTAAACATGAAGTCCTGCTCCTCAGTGGAAACAGAACAACCAGGACTAGAAGGAAGGAGAACCAGAAAGGCCATAAATCACACAGATTAACAAAAACGTGAAGTTCTTTGTTTCATTATTTCAGAAAAAACTGAAAAACTGGAATCAACATGAACAACGTTTTGCTGAGTCCACCCGGTTTTTACTAAGACTGGAGAGAAACGATGACTCGACCTTCTAGAAATATTCTGTTTACCTGCAGTTCAACCAAAAACGACTCTTGATCAGGATGGAGTCACTCGTGGATTCTCAGCCAAAGAATATTTAAGATTTTTGTTTTTAACAGAATCTGGTTGAACAAACGGTTTGTTTGGGAAAATGTTCTAAATTAGATGCGTAGAATAAAGTAGTTTTAATTAAATATCAAAGTTTCAGGCTCAGATTTGGTTCATTTTTCTGACGGAACACTTCCTGGTTCTGATCCGTGGTGTCGGGTTCATGGTTCTTTATAAACGTCAGCAGGTTTTGGGCTTCAGAAGCTGAACGAGGTGTTTAACTGAAGTAAAAACCTGCTTAAATCACGTTTATCATGAAACAGACGTCAGCAGATGTTCTACGTGTTCAGCCTCCTGAACTAAAACCTCGTTAAAGCTGCAAACTGCTGACGAGCAAAGCGAAGGGTTAATTAAATTTAAAAAAACAATTATGTGAGAGAAAGAAGGAAAAACCAAGAACACTCGTCAGCAGCGTCCTGGTCGGTGCTGCTGCTGCTGCTGACGAGTGTTTTCGCCTCTAATTGGTCTCCAGTGGGAGTGGAGGCTCCTCTACTGGGGCCGGTTACTCATACTGGGCAGCTCCCAGTTCAGCTTCCAGACCTGACGGAGCGGTCGTCGCTGCCGGTGACGGCCAGAGGCTTCTTGGGGTGAACGTCCAGCGCCCAGAGCTCGCCCTCGCTGTGTCCCTGCATGATGAGCAGCGGCTTGTCCCGGTCCCTGACCATCACCTGGAACACAGCAGCAGGACGCGTTAAACACCTGGATGCACCTTAAACACCTGGATGGAGCTTTAACATCTGGATGAACCTTAAACACCTGGATGGAGCTTTAACACCTGGATGGAGCTTAAACACCTGGATGAACCTTAAACACCTGGACAGAGCTTTAACATCTGGATGGAGCTTTAACACCTGGACAGAGCTTTAACACCTGGACGGAGCTTAAACACCTGGATGGAGCTTAAACAGGCTGGAGGTGATTTAGTTAAAAACAGAAAGCGAACAAGCTGGACCGACACACTGGATGAAACCAGACTGGGTTTGGTTGACGTGTACTTTACTTTGCACCGTAAAGGAAATAAAAAAATCTGACAAAAACAAAAACTGTGAAAATCTGGCAGCAAGAAAAAAACAAAACAAAAAAAACAAAACTGTGGAATACAGTCACACTGGAAAATTTAAAAACTAAACTAAAATAAAAATATTAACGATATTGGCACATACAATTCAAATATTGACATTTTTTTTGCTGCAATTTTATTTCACACCGGATGTGGACTTTTTTTTTTTTTTTTACTGTTGATATATTAAAAATAAACTTTTATTTTCATCTACGTTGCACATTTTAATAGATGTTATTTACTTTAAAACAACAGTCACAGCTTTTCCCAATAAGTTCAGATTTCTTACAGATAATTATATATTTTTACTGAATTAAATAAACTGAAAATAAAAATAAAAACCAAAATAGTTTTCATTAATACACAGAAATATTCAGATAATTAGATCAATTTAATTCTATACATGAAACAACATAATATTTGTAATTTTCACTGTTTTTTTTTTTATTTTTTTCACTTTTCAGAACAAATCCTCTTTTAATTGAGTCGTTCTTTATCATTTGCACAAAGTGTTTTCAGGAAATCAGACGTTTTGTTTTAATTAATTTCTCTGAGATATTCATCAGTGATGTGGATCATCATCAGTCCACAGTTTTATGTTTTTATATGAACTTTTGCTGTTTTTCCAGTGAACAGGTGAATCTACCTGCACTGTTTGACTGATTCTAACCAGATCACACCAGTCAGGGTTTTACTTTCATACATTTGTTCTTTCAGTCGTTTTAAAACATTTTGTTCATGAGAAGCAGCGTTCATCAGGAAACATTAACTGAACCAAAATAAAACCCTTTTCATGCCGTCGCCGTGGGGAGCAGCAGCAGGAGGCCGAGCTTTGGTTTCATATCGTCTGATTTCTCACCTCAAAGATCTCGCTGTCCTGAGTTCCCGCCAGAATCCGGTCGGCTCGCCAGCAAACGCTGCGAATAGACAAACCTGCAGGAAGAAGGAAGAACGACGAGTTCAGGAGTGAAAAGTGTCGTAACGTCTGGAGGAACAACAGAGGAGAGAATCAGACGGCATTAAAGCCAAAGACAAGGAAGGAGGATAGAAAACCAACAAGATGAATGAGAGGATGGAGCTGGGAGCTCCAGAGGACTCATCGATGATTATTGACGAGGAAACGGTTCTGATTCGACCGGCGGCTCCCATTAACTCCGGCTAACGAGCAGCAGACGTCATTACTCGGTTCATTACATCGACGTCCGTCCTGAGAGTCGCCGGGTTTCAGATTTACAGCCTGAATGAAGAAACAACCTCCACAGAACCTGCTTCCTCCGTCTGCTGCTTCAGGTCACAACATAGTTCTGTTCTGTCAGATTTATGGCTTTAAAACAATAAAAACTGTCTCACGGTGACTCCTTTAACACCTACAACACACCACAATGGACTAATGACACACACATCTTACTGTCTTGAGTTTTTTCACTGCATAAAAACCAGAGCTGTTGCTGACCAGCTTCAAACCACCGTGCTGTTCTTTGAGGCTGATTAATAATTATTAATGAATAATCACGACTCACATAAAACCTGCTGCCCTCTGACGGATCCACAAACAGAACACGTCCTCGTCTCTCCTTCAGCTGTTTTTATCTGAGCTTAGCAGAGATTTAATAAATAAACCTTGACATGAATGTTGGAGTTTGAGGTGCTTCACTGCAACAAACAGTTTTCAAACTTCAACAAACAAGAACAACAAGTTTAAATCAAGTTTAGCTTTTCTAGCTATGCTACTCTGCTAAGCTAGGCTAGTTAGCGTATAGCCGATCTCTATTATTCGCTATAATTTAAATACATTTAAATATGTAAAACCTCTGATTGAAGTATCAAAACTGAATTTACACATTTCTGCTAACAGGAAGAAGTGGCTAATTTAGGCTAAGCTAAAGCTAATGGCTAGCCTTATGTAGCCTAAATGCAACTGGACTGTTTGGTTTTATCCTGTTTTTTAGCTTTTCTGCTAAGCTAGGCTAGCTAGCTCAAAGCAGAGCTACTTTTTTGTTCACTATGATTTATGATTAATCAGTTCAAAGATGTTAGAGCATCAAACAAAGTTTTAAAAGTTCAGAGAACTGTACCAAAGTGTCAAATCAGCTGTTTGTATGAATCCACATCATGTTTCTGAACCCAGAATCACATTAATGATGTTTAACGACCTTCATCGCTAGAGAAGATTTTTAAGTCCCTTCCAGGTCATAACTGCATTTAGATCAACAGCACTTTGCAGGACTGTGATGAAGCAGCTTCCAGCTCCGGTCCTGTTCTGAGACCATTAACCAGTCATGTGTGATCAAAAAGAGGCTTTTACTGGTTTATTCCTGCAGCAGAGCGTTTAAATGTTCTGTGAAGAAGAAGCAAACACTTCCTGTCAGAGAGAGAACAAAAAAGTAAGAAGGAGACTCTGAGAGTTTTTCCTCTTCCAGCCTCGCTGTTAAACTCCTGTTCCCCGGAATCTAAAATTTAATTAGCAGAGCCGTTCAGCAGAGCAGCGCTCGCCAATTAGAGCATCTGCTGTCGCTGACGGCATGACTCAGCGCGCCACGCTTCCTGTAACTCTGTTAGAAACTTCTCCCCGGAGGCTCGCCAGCCTAAACAACCTGATAGCAGACCAGCTTATGAGGCAAATTGGAGATAATTGGGGAATTTCTTTAAACTTCCAGCACAGGTGGAGCAGAGTGAGGCAGGCGTGGGAAGGAGTTCTGATGTGTCGCCTCACAAAGCAGGATAGCAGCCAGAAGGTAGAAGAAAGGGAAGACGCTTCAACCACACATCCTGTTTATAAAACCATAAAACCATAAAAGTCCTGAAGGTCCAGGTTTACCTCATATCAGTGGTGCAGGTTGGACTGAGGCAGAAGACTTTTATTACTGAGTCGTTTATGGGAATCTGTGTTCATCCATCATCTCTACACCTTCATCCTCACTAGGGTCATGGGGGACGGAGCCTATCCCAGCTGACTCAGGGTGAAGGCAGGTTCACCTGGACAGGTAACCAGTCTATCACAGGGCTACACTTAGAGACAGACAACCAAGCACACTCACATTCACACCTACGGACAATTTACAATCACCAATTAACCTCAGCATGTTTCTGGACTGTGGGAGGAAGCCGGAGAACCCGGAGAGAACCCACGCTGCACGGGGAGAACATGGAGACTCCACGCAGGAAGATCCCGGGTGTCCTCACCGGGACGCCAACCAGCGACCTTCTAGCTGTGAGGCCACGATGCTAACCACTGAGACACCTGCAGCTTAATAAAGTTTTTATTTTCATTTGCTCATAAGAGGAAATCCTCCACTGCAGAATCGATGCATTCTGTTGTCTGCTGCAGAAAACCATCTCCTCCTGAAGAGGAACGTTGAACGTCTCCACCTCCTCCAGAACGAGGCCATTTCCAACCTTTACCTCCTTCCTTTCATCTCTTCCCTCTTAACTTTCTCCTCACAAATCTTCAGAGGAGATGTTGAAGGGAGGCCGTGGGATTAACGCCTCCACCTCCTGCTGAGAGCCACGTTTAGGAATGTGAAGGAGGAGAGGGGTTCAAACCTCCTACCTCTGGATCTCTACCAAATCAGGTCAGCTCCCTGCTGAAGACTGAAGACGACAAACTTTCACACGTCTGCTGCTGAAAACTTCTCATCAAAGGAACCAGAATCAGGTCGCTGTGATCTCTGACACACGACGACAAACTTCTCTTCAAATATCGCCGGAGAGAGAAAGAGAGAAAGCCTGGAGGACACGACGGCGTCGAAACCTTCAAGTGACAAAAGATTTCTAAATGAGCTTTTCTCTTCTCTTCATACTTGCCTCCAGCAGACGGAGGAGAGCTCGGCTTCAGAAGAAGAAGAGATGTGCTGGTTCTCAAAACACGCTTCAAGTTGAAACAAAAGTCGTTCCAAGGTCTCCGACAAACACGTGATTCTCATTTCAGTCCGTCAAGAGTCTGACTTTTTCCTTTAAACTGTGTTAATGTCAGGTTCTGGGCGTTTGGATCGTGGGTTTGGTGTAACGGCGCCGTACCTTTGTATCCCTGCTCGGCCTCCCGCAGGTCGATCTTGGTGATCGGCTTGAAGTCGACGTCCCAGAGTCGTATGCAGCCGTCTCTGCCTCCGGTGGCGAAACCCTCCTCACAGGAATACATGCTGAAGATCCCGGCCTGCTCACAACACACATATATATACAGTCAGGCTTTAGACCAGGGTTTAGACCAGGGTTTAGACCAGGGTTTAGACCAGCAGGGTTTAGACCAGGGTTTAGACCAG